CTGGTAGAGTTGAATTCGCAAACGGCTAAGAGCTCGTATTCCAACTCGCGACCGTCGACTTCGATTATGACGGCGCGCGGCTTTCGTGCGATGAATTTGTAACCAAGAGTTACCGCACCTTCAACCAAAGCACCCTCATCAGGAGACGCAGCTTGGTATTTGATAGCGGCCTTTTCACCCTTTCGCTCGGGAATTACTGTGTGACAAGTTGAAAGTAGAGTGAGGAACTGGTCAATGATGTACTTGTTGTGGTGCGTCTTGCGATTTTGCTCGAGCTGCTTGAAGTCGTGAATACCAACCTCAACGCCGTCCTCGATCGTAGCACGTCTGTCCTCTGGAACCTCATCGGCATACTGAATACCAGCAATTGTGGACTGCTTGAACTCCATCACATTGCAGGTAAGAGTACCCGTCTTATCTGAAAAGATGTATTCGATCTGACCCAGTTCCTCGACCAATGACGAAGTTCGACATTTCGCAGGTGTATCCGTTGGTTCGTAGTAAATGTCTAGGTCGGAATCGATCAGACTGCCAGTATAGTACTTGACGATCTCGATTGTCACGAAAAGTGAGATGGGTACCAGGTTGGAGTACAACACCCAGTATGTCAGAAGGTCTCGGAAGAACTGCTTGGCGCCGTTGAAAGTCTCAAGCCTAAGGTACTCGAGGCTGTCTCTTTGCGTGGATTGGATAATGACATCGCCTATTGAGCTGATAATACTTAGGATTATGAGAATGACGACAAGCATGAGAATCTGCTTGTTTACCATCCTCTCCACTGCAGTAGTTTTGATAGGTGTAGCGGTCGCGTTCCTCATCAGCTTGGTTTCGTGTCCAGTGAAGACAACAACGCCGTGTATCCAAGGGGTGTTTCGCAATGTGGCTCCACGTAACAACAGCTGATCGGGTTGAAGTGGTAGTTCCTTCTCTCCGCCACCTGCTGCGATAGTCAAGGTTGCTTCATACGTGTATAGACTACTGTTGGGCTGTTCCGATCGGATGCGGCCTCCCAGTCGCGCTAGCTCAGCAGGACTGACATAGTCAGCTGTCTCCGGAATAGCTTGCTTGATCTTGAGATTCGTCTCTCCGTCCAAGTTGGCCGTTTCGATGTAGCACAGACCCTCGGGCTCGGAAGAAGCGAGTAGGACCAGATCAGTTGGGAAAGGTGATTCAGATTCGACGCGCACAATGTCGCCTACTGCCACGTTGACCCATTTTGTGTCCACGAATGAGGAGCCTTTGAGAACCTGCGCCTTCGAGTTGTTGAGGTCGGAATCGGACTGTTTTCGCCGGTAGTCCTCAATGTATTCTTTGACCGCCGAGACCAATAGGACTATGCCGAGCGGAACAATTGTAGTGAATCGCGACGTGGGTGAGATACCGGGGATCTGTTGTAGGATGGCAGTGAACAAGAAGAAGAGGTTGGCGTATTTGGAGAACTGCTCGTAGAGGAATTTCGGGAGGAAGGTGACGACGTTGTATTTGGAGGTCGAGATGTGGTTGTCGACGTATTTGTTCGCGGCGTTCGCAGGCGGATTGTTCAGGTGGATGATTCGGGGCCCCAGGGTGGAAGGGTCTGGCGCACCCCGGCCGAAGCCGAACTTGAACGTCCCCAGTCCCTTCTTTGTCTTTGACGACTGGCCATCGTCGCGTGCGCTCGCGGTCGCGCTCGGCTGCCGTTGGTGTGCTGCGTTCTCAGTCAATGGAAGGTCCATCTCAGAGTACTCGTTCCCCTGCCCGAACATGTTCTTGACCCTCCCCGTCAGACCACCTCCGAGGCTCAGGATACTATTCCTGTTGTGCGCCTTCTTGGATGCCCCGCGCTGTATACCTGGTGAAGCCTGATCATACGCCCCTCCTGCAGCATAGTAGCCCTGTGTTGAGGCATCGTCGTCGTGTGGTATGTCCGCGTCCGAGTACCGTTGGTAGTTGTTCAGGTCCGACGTTTGCGAGTAGGCCCTGTTATTGTTTGCTCCCCCCAGATAGGGCGAGGTACCCGTTGGTGCGCCAGGCCCGCCCGGCAGGCCTGCCGTCGCCCTCCCACCCCCAACAAAGTCATCGTAGGACACCGAGGGCCGGCCCTGGGGCGCCGCGTCGGAGCTGTCTATGTCGTACCGGTGGAGGAGGTCATGGTCGTTTGCGGGCGGTGGTGCGCCCGAGTAATATGTGGGTTGGTGGTCGTCGAAGTCGATCAGGTTCTCGCTGTGAGACGGTCCCCCCGGCGGCCGGCTGGCCATAGCGGCCGAATGTTGTGTTGGTCGTCTGTCTCCGAAGAGCGCGGCTTCTCTACCACTTCATGTACGGATCGCCGGTGTGTCGTCTGCGCTGCAGTGTGTTGGCGCGTCGCGGAGGTATACGGAGTACGGAGGTCTTGCGGAGCTTCCTCGTAAGCCGCCCTGGTAATAGTAGGTCACACAGCTTGGCCGGCGTTTCGGAGTTGAGTTTGTACGGGTTGCGCGCAATGTGTCGTGATCGCGTGTCTATCGTGGAAAAGCGAACGTCAACCTTTCACCGGCGCTGGCAATGGTCGCGGATTTGTTTGCAAGGTTTCGCTGCTTGCCTGTCGTCGAAAGATGGAGGCACGGACCTATGTGCTGAGGCAGTGCCTACCCCGATCCTGGACAACCTGCTGCAACCGCGCCCCTGGGGTCTCGATATATCGACGAATGATATCGGATTCCCTTGGCCGTATGTCTCAAATTGCACCACGCTGCACGCACGCGCGAATGCTGCAAACTACCCTACTTGCAGCGACATTACGCGGCGCCACGTTGTGGGGAGAGATTTGGTGGAGACCCTGACGTTGCGCCAAGTCGGCATGCTGATACTCTCAACAACGTTCTGTATTCCTTTTCCCAAGGCCTTGTTCTAGAATACACAAGTCCATCCATCAATATATCTACCATACGATGCGCAACACTGTTAGCCTCCTGCTAGGGCCAAAATACCATTCGGCTGGCCGGACTGCGCCAAGTACCGACGGCTTGTAAGGCGGGCACACTACAATTTCTCTCAGCCCGGTTCGTGCTGCGGCATGTTGAACTCATCGAAGATGATTAGATCTAACCGACAGAACGCATCTAGAATTTTGCTCATATATCAAAGTGCCGAGCTCATCAAACTGTGCATCTCTTTTGAAGTTGAGAGAGTACAATCTGCGGGTGCATTATTATGCTTCTTCCAACGATTTGATGTTATCTTCAACGGTTGAGACTATCTATTCGGATTGTTGGTAGAGTGAGGCTGTGGCTCGTAAACTCGCACCGAAGGCGCAGCCGATACGCCCAAAATAGCATTGTGCATTCGTGGCCGCCTGGGAATCGTTACATATCCGTCCAAGGGCAGTGTGACCTACTAATCATTGTAATGTCGTGTAGTGATCGTAGTTTGAAGACCAGATAGTAAGTGATTCCGGTCAAGTGATCTCACTGTCGCAACGAGCCGTATTTCGAAAAGTGACCTATCTTGCAACCTTTTCCATGGTATTATGTTCAATAACTCTATAGCCAATAGCCAGCAGGTTACGGTGGTGCTTTACCGAGCATGCAGATGGTTGGTGTTCCACTAATGAAATTTTCCAAGCGTCCCGCGGACATCCTCCCCGCCCCGCCCACCATACTTCCAGTCATGGCAAACTTCATCCTGGAAAGTCGTACAACCATGCTCTTGAGATGAAGAAACCGTTGCTTGGTATAGAAAGGTTTCTTGAGATCTGCTTTCCATCGAACAACATTACTAGCCCGGCTAGCTCAATCGGTAGAGCGTGAGACTCTTAGTCTTTCACGGTCTAACAGACACGATTACTCAGTACATCTCAAGGTTGTGGGTTCGACCCCCACGTCGGGCTTGTACGTTCTAGCTTTTTGTTTCGCGTTCATTTGAACGCTTCAGCCCTTTTTTTGGTATTGAGGATGTTGGTGGATGGCATTTCCACCACGTCAGCCTTTTTACCCCACCACCACACTCTACAAAACCGTATTTGCACACCAGAACTGTGGCGACTCTGCTCCACGATATCGTTGTATTTTTAATATTTTAAGTTCAGTCTGTTATTGATCACTGGCTCCAATCCGACGTAGACCATATATAATTCTCACGCATCCTACAAGCCATGGGAATACAACTCCAATGTTCAAAATATACACGGAAGATTCTATCGCAGCCTCTGCACGTGTCCTTGATCGTTCATCACATCTCTGTTGTTAACATATCTTCTCGTCATGACTGGTTTTGCACTGTGTTCAGGCATGTCCCTCCCTAAGTACCAAATATGAGCGAATGGGTGCAGCATCGACAGGAGTGCTCCGACTCGATCGATTCAGTAGCCGCGTAAGCGTTCGGAGTGATTCTTCTCTAAACCACTACCCTATTTAAGGGAAAAATCGAACACCTCTAGAGCCTACATTAAGATAAGAACGGGCAAAGTAAGTGGCCTAACAGCGACGTAGGCTCTAGGGTGTTTAGTTTTTCCCTTGTATAAGGTGCACATTGTAGGATAATTGTAAGCTCTTTCGTCATAACGTTTACAAATAGAAAGACGTGAGGCATTGAAATATTCACAACAGTGAATCGTCTACACAAGCCGACGCCAGCGCGCAATCGAGTCTGTTCTCCTTCTGCTGTCACACGACAAGCACATTACACTTGCGCTATTCTTATTCTAAGATCCACACTGCCTTCTACGTTCGTTTTCCTTCCACTTGGGCGCCTACATCTCACCGCAGCAATCCATCTCCGTCAAGTAAACCATCATGTCGGCGGAAAACAGCATAATCGTCAAAAGATACGACCAAGAAAACACTTCCCGCGGCGTCATTCATCCCGATATCCTTGCCCGTCATTGTATCCTCGACAACGGCTGTCATGCTCTCGAACTCGACTACACCACCGCGCCCAGTCTGGGCTTACTGTCAAAACTGCCAGTAGAGTTGCAGCAGCAGATCATCTTACAAATGGATACTGCTACTGTATTTGCGTGGAGGCGAGTCAACAAAAGGGCAATGGACTTGGTCTCTAACATGTTTGAGTGGAAAGAGGTAGGAAACGATTTACTGAGAACATCAGACTGGAGACTAACACTGCACCAATAGGTCATCTCACTTGCTCCGAGCGCCCTGAGAATGATAATAGGCCTTCGCTCACAGGCCACGTTCGGTCTCGCTGACCTGCACAACGCGCTTCACTACCGTACCTGTGTTACCCAGGGCTGCGACCCCAATACCGCACAGTACATCAACATGAAGAGTCTCAAACGTCTCTGCCGCAGTTGCTTCCAGTATCACGCTAGGCATATTGAGTTCACAATCGAACTTGCATTGGGCTATGTAGAGCTGATCGACATTGATTATTTATTGGGTGGACAGACTGGCTATATAGAGGAGATCGACATGGATAAGTTATTGGGTGGATTGACTTACCGTGCGGAAGAGAAGGAAGAGAGCGAAGATGCCAAGGAGGAAGATAATGGGCCATTCAAGGTAGCCGTTACTGAGCGCATGGCCTTCGTTTATATGGGCACGTTGTAGAAGTGAGATTGAGTGTTGCAGTGACAAAGAGTCAAGGTATCGATGGCGGAGATGCGGACAAGCGGTGGGTTGGCGGTTTGGCTTGAGAGGAAGACGCTTCACTAGGAGATGACGGAAGCTGTATCGCCTTTTGCTGCATACACACCATTGCATGTCAACGAACAAGTAGTATATGAGATAACGTATACTTCAACATACGCGATATCCATGAAAAATCCAACGCGAAAAGATTTTGTCGTCTCCTAGTCCCAAAGTAGCGACTCGCACACTGCACGCCAAGGTGACGTAGACTTCTGCGTCACCACAACTTTGGCAAAAAGATACATTCTCAAGCAAGTATACAAAAGGTCCTCACGTCGGCGCAAAAGAGCTGCAAAAAGAAAGACAATGAACTGGACATGGCGAAACTCGAATCCGCGTCTCCCTGCATACACTCGTGGACTAGCACGCACAGTAGCTTTACGGGCGCCTTGCCATACTCGCTTTTTGAGTCTAGACCACATGCCATGGAAATGTTTTCGATGACTAATCTTAGGATTGAATGAGATATAACGATAGTGAAAGAAGAGAAGATTGGGTGGGTGGAGTGGTGGCGGGTCGGCTTCACCTGCGCAGTACGTAGCGCTCGTCATTACTGATGGTCTCACTGCTTGCTTCTACTGCTTTGTCGACGCAGGTGTTTAGGTAAACTTTTAGATCAAGCAAGGTATCAGACATTTCCTGGGGTAAGAAACCGAGTTGTAAAGATGGTATTGCTTGTGATACTGGCATGACGTAGTAAACGTGAAAGTCTTGGTCTTCTTCATTTCACCAAGTTTCTTTGCTGTACTCTTTTCCATTCTGATGAGCTTGTGGAAGCCTCTCCGACTGGAACCGTCGCATGTTTGCTGAGATATGCGTAACGCCCATACATCGCGAAGTTTTACGCGTGGAATGGTTTTTCGTCTTCTTGTTTAAGCCGCAATGGCTGCTGTTTGTACGCGGGTATTGAATCTTGGATAGCGGAGTCGCGTTTCTTCTGGGTTTGGAACGGGGGTGTTGAAGACAATGCATGCTGAATTTGTCGCTCTTGTAAGTTGGTACCTTGATAACAGGTAGGAAGAAATTTACCGGTAAATCAAGGTCTCTAGGTCTCCCTTTCATCCAGCAACCTCTGAACTGTTGCCTTCAACTCCTTGAAATTCATCTCCAACGTCCCATAACTCTCCTCCAAATCCTCATACTTGTCCTCCAACATACAGACCTTCTTCTTTAGACTCTCGTCCCCTGTGGTCTCCTTTTTTAGCATCTTGTGACTCATCTCTAGCTCGTCATAGTCTCTTTCAACCCCTCTGATTCTATACTCTAAATCACCACACTTCGCTTTCCACTCTTTTTCTATCCTTTCCATCTTCTCGTTCGCATCAGTCGACATGGTCGCGCTGCTCAAGTGTCTGGGTAGGTCGTTGGCGTTGAGGCAGGAGCTGTAAAAAAAAAAGGTATACTGATGGAGGGCAATTAATAAAAGTATTGAGACAGTCTGAGCGAGTCGCGGGGTATCGAAGCATTATATATGTGGCAGTGCGTTGAGAGCCATTAGCGGGGAACGTACCATGAAACCATCCCCAACAGACCCCTCAACAACAACCAATCCAGTGTCGCGCATCTCGAAAGGGTCGCTCCGATTACGTGTTGACTTCAGGAACAAGCTCCCTTCCAACGGGCTCTAGGTCATTCTCATTACAGTAATGATGCGCAGTGATGAGACGACCCATCCTTGACGAAGACCAGGCCTGAATAGCTCTAGTTCCAAGACATCCTTGTACAGTCATTCCATTCAAAGGCAAATCTGAAACTCTGAAGCCTATGTTGACTTTAGGCTATCTGATTTGCATGTATTCATCTTAGTGTAGGCTGCAGATCTTTTCAATTCTATATCTGTACGAGGAACACTCAAACGCATCGTGAATAAGAACCATCAGTGTGCAAGACGCCAGGAAAATTTACATGGATGGTTATCTTCAAGACTAGCACTACAAAGAAAGTGGGCCTGGTACATATTGAGAGTACCGTCGCGACCTATTTCGACGAAGGCCTAAGCTCATCTATTTATTGAACTATGCGACCCGTCTAATACGCTGTTCTAGTAACCCTGTGGTACCCGGGTAGTATTTCGTGATACCGTGAGTTTGCTTAAGGTCTTGCTGCTCGCCCGCGATCCAATCAAGAGCTTCTCTCAAATCCACTTCGTCTCCGAAATTTTCAAGCATCTCCTCGATGATGAAACACAATTGGGTATCGGCGGCTTGCAGTGCCAGGCACATGGCAACATCCAATGGAGTCCTGCCGTAGCTGTACCTCAACAGTGCTCCATACATTTGCCTCGCAAGAACGAAGGCTGCGTCATATCTCCATCTCAAATCCCCATTGCTCTCCTTGATCTTGATGAAGTGGATGTCGTGTACGAGTATCTTGATCGTGCGGCTAAGAGTATCTGGATATTGATTGAAGGTATTCCGTACGTATTGCTCATAGACTTTGAGTTGCGCTTCCGCTGCATGGTGGTCAACCGTGCGTAGTTGGGTGTATCGTAGATCTGATTGTTCTCGTCAGTACCATGGAGCAGCATTTAACAAATCGATAAGCAAGTTACGTTTGTGTAGCCCCCGCATTTTAAGTGCTTCATAGGGATCCATGGTGTTGCTCTGTGCGAATCTGCGCCACCGTTCATGCTTATCGTTTGCTTCCCTCAAGTCTTCGCTCAGCAGGCTAATCTCCTGTTGCGCACGCCGTAGCTGTTCTTGCGTGTCTTGTAGTATTCGACGTGTCTCACGCAGTTCTCCTTGTGCCGTGATGCTACTAGTATGATATTCGTCTTTCGGGCATTCTTTGCGAAGATGTCCAAAGCCGCTGCATCCGTAGCACTGAATGTTGGCCTTGTCAGGGCAATCATCCATGATGTGGCCCTTCTCTCGACAATGGAAGCAAGTTGCTAATGGACAATCCTGGACCCAATGCCCCTGGGCATTGCATTTAAGGCACCGGTCGCCTCCGGGAATAACTTCGTCGGCGTAGTCGTTCAAGCCTGGGGTTGAGGAACGTGAGCGTGGAGGCGAGCTCATGATATTGTCGTGTACCGCGTGAGAGTGTTCGCGGGCTCTGATAACCTCAGAAGCAAGAGTACTTGCGAAATAAGAACTGGGTACCATATGTGACATGCTTGCTCATGGACAAATGTCTTTGCAGAAGACGCGTTGTGTTCGAAGGGTAAGCACAAGGGACGACATACCAACCGCATCACGGACGCGTCGCGTCGCGTTTCAGAAGATGATCCGCCGACTAGGCTAGAGATAGGCTAGCTGACGTGGAGTGAACGCGCATGGAAGTATAAATGAATCCGGCTTACACCGAGACCGATGATCAAACGAACTCTTCGAAGCTTCAGCTGGTGCAGGCACTGCCCAGGTGGTATACAGTCGTTGTGACCGCATCTGGCATGCTCCAAGACGTGCACCGAACGCGAAAATTAACAGTGTCATGCAGTGCGCGTCGTTACCCAGAAGCATACATGGGTATTGAGGATCGCGAAATATGAAGTGTGGGGCCGATGTGGACGTCGCGCTGGTGGATAGTTCGCGCTAAATTCTGGGTGCTGACGGGAAACCTACGAACACCTCCAGGATACCTTATATTGGCGATGTACGAAGATTTCAGATGGCGAAGAAATGGCATAGTACAGAAATGCACGAGGGTGTTCGAGCTGTTTGCTGCAGGCGACCAGTGGGTGGTTTCCACAAGTGAACTAGCCTATCACATGATCGTGCTAAGGTAACCCGCGCGGACCCGACACTCTTCTCCTGCCCGACGCTGAACCAACACTCCCGTTCGCAAAATGCTATCGTGCGAACATATGGCACCACCGAGCCCAACACACGACCGCCACAGCAATCGTCTCTGGCATCTTCCCGCCCTTATTTGATAATCGCTTACCCCGTGTCCAGACGCGTCGCGAGGTGCGCGTGTCTAGCTTGCGCTCTATGCTTTCGACTTGCTGCTTCACCAGATCTATACTGGCTTCTAGGATGCTCGTCATCGTCATGAAATCATCTATGTCCTGGGAACTGGCACGTGTCATTATGCTCAAGCATGATGTCACGGCGACGAGGACCGTCGAGTCTGGCTGAGACGTCTGTTGTGGTTGATACCTATACCAGGGCTGAAAACCTGCACTTTGAGATTGCCTCTGCACTATACCCACCTCACGAAATAACCGGCTTAGCTATGGACTCTGAACAGCTGACAACGGATCCTTCTATTTGGCTAAGACATTGCTTCTATTGCTACCTTTACTATGGTCCATTCCTACAAAGAGTCGCTACACATTCGCCAATCTCTCACTCTCTGCGTACTTCGTTAGCTTCCTTAATCTCACTTCCGAGATGAAAGCTGCCTGTAATTATTGTTAACACGTCAGCTCCTTCAATTACTCGCTGTTTCTCTGTCTCTTACCGCAATTTGCTCTGCCTATCGTCACGGGGTCACCCTCACCACCTTTGTCCCATATAAAACTAATCTTTCCTATCTCAACCTTCTTCATCCTTACACTCTCTTTCCATCGCTTCCATTAGAGACGGGTAAGTACTGGTCCTGTTACATCTACTACATATGCTAACAACACCAGTGTGGACCCAACCCAGTTCCAACACCGGAAGCAAGCTCACCTCTACAAATCCAGACCATGGCGTCTTTACTCTTCCCCACTCTGGAAGAGTTCAACGCATGGCTCAAGACTCAAAAACCCCCAAAACGCTATAATGCCGCTATCGAGGATATGCCTGATACACCATGGTCAAGATTGCCTCGAGCCATTATTGATACCAGGCTGAAAGAGTTTGGGCAAAGGATCATTGTATGTTTGGGCAAGTTCCCTTACGACGACAAAGAACTCGACCACGTGGAGAAAGCCGCGCAATCGGTTTCTCAGGTCAAGAGAAGCCCTGCTATGCAAGTGGCATTCATTGGTTCTCAAGCTGCAGGGAAGAGCACGCTATTATGCGCTTTCTTCAGTCTCGAAGGCGCTTCTCCCACTGGTGCCTCCGGCAAGGCTTGTACAAGCACAGCTATCAGGTACAAGAACTATGCAGAAGGCAAAGATGGCCCAACGAAGTTTCATGGTCAGACTAGATTCCTCAAGACGAAGAAGCTCGAAGCCATGTTCAAGGAGCTATGCCGCCACTACTACTACTTCCACCACGCCGAAGAAGACTCCGAAGATGAGGATGATCCTGAATCCGAAGAAGCACCCGACCAATCAAAGCTCGAAGCACTCAAGGACACGGCGGAAGACATCCTAGTGGCCCTATGGGGATCGAAACAAAGTTTCCTGGAAAGCTGGAGCCCATCTGTGTTCAAGAGTGGAGCGTTCGTACGGCTTTGCCAGCTAAAGTTCAAAGAAGCAATCGAGTTCGCCAATGTCGACAGTGATAGTATTGCATACATGATGGGGAGTGATCAACATCAGCTCCTGAGTCAGATGATACGGTTCATGTCACAAGTCGAGGGGGAGAAATGTCTATGGCCTTTGGTGGATCATGTCATGATCAGCTTTTACAATCAATGGCTCGAACAGGGGCTGGAGTTGATTGATCTACCTGGTAAGGAGATTTCAAGAAAACGAACATTCTGTCAGCTCAAGCTAACATCTTACAGGTTGTGGTGACTCCAATCGTCAGCGAGCCCGACATGCCGATGAGATCCGCGACAGCGTGCAAGTCGAAGTCGTTGTATGCAACACGGCGCGTATTGAGTCCGACGAGATGTTTATTCAACAAGCACGTACCGCGATCAATCTGCATGGTGCATCGAATGTGCGCTTAGTTGCTACCAACATTGATGTAAGACTTTGACTCTTGCTATGGAGCCGTAACTAACATTTGCAGAGTATCGCCGACAATCAACAAGGTCAGGACGACCGTGAGCCCTATCGCACAATCAATCGTCTAGTTCGAGAAACCCAGGAAATGCTAGCGTCAATAGACGATGACGAAGATGAAGAGGAGAACTTTGCACAAGTCATGAAACGCAATCAGCTCGAAAAGCGTTTGAGCCATCTGAAACGTTGTGATAAGCAACACAGGGTAGCAGAACGTGCACAGAGGCTATCGAGAACTATTGGAGAAAAGCTGCAGGGACGATCGGCAAGCACACTTCCACCGCTCATTCACACCTCGGCAGCGCAATACATGGAATGGTTGGAGAAACCAAAATTCACGTTCAAGGACCAGCCTGATTTCTCGGTCGAAGAGACGGGTATACCCCAACTCCGCAGAGAGCTCCTTGCTCTCACAGCACCTCAGAACATGCAAGACTATGAAAATCACGTCTTCATCACAGCGCCAGCCGTGATTGAGAAGATTATACGAACAGTCCGAGAAGATATCCATGAGGGTGGGTTCGTCACGATCGCCGACGCGTTCGAGGTAGTAGGACAAAAGTTTATGGTACCTTGGAAAACTGGAGTGGTGGGAGTCTTCCGCGACTCGTCAGACAAGAGCATGAAAAAGCTAAGAGCAGACATACCCGCTCTTCAGAATCGCGTCAACATGAAGGTGGAAGAGTGGTGCAAGTTGAAATTTGCCGCCTTCAACAGAGCCATGAAAGGAAAAGGTGTCCTTCCAGACGGGAAGTCGTACGCCAAAAGCCCTCAGAATGGTCGCAACTTGGACAAAGAGCTTTCAGATATCCTGACTCCGGGTATCTCTAAGTGGGCGAATACTCATGCTTCCTTTATGGCACATATGGAAGAAGCATTTTGCAAAGCTATCGACCAACTCCATCGGCGCGTAATCAACGAACTCGACGATGCTGGTGGCAACATGGTCACAGTGGAAAAGGCTAAGACTAAGTGGCACAACGACAAGAACAGCTATCCGGAAAAGATCAAAACCGATATGATGGTGCTGGTGACTGATGTTCAGCGACTGACGAAGCGCGCTTCAGACTGGGCTATCATGAAAGATGGCAGAGAGAACAACCTTGTTGGCTCTATCACCAATGAATGGTATGACGACATTCATGACGCCGCGCCAAAATTGAAGCCACCGGTTCCAGGAAGGAAGCAGAAGAAGGTTTACGAAAAGCCGGGTCGATTTCAGTTCCAGAAGAACCGTATGAAGTCACACTTCTCTGGTTCGAAAGTCCAATTCGTTGAGCACGCCTTTCAGAAGCTTCAGGCAAAATTCGATAGAGACACCGAAGCTCTGGTCGACAAACACTTTGAGATAATCAACGACATACTATCAGAATTTGCTGAACACCTTCGAGGTCGGAAAATGCTCGACTATCAAATCAGCGAGCATGGACGAGCTATCCGCGCCGATCTGAAAGAGCTACTCCCACACCTCCAGGACGAACTTCATCAGATACAGAGCCTCTTTCCACAGCGCGTGAAGGAAGAAGATGGCGCTTCGCCATCCAAGTTCGCCAACTACGCCGACTTGAATGTGGATGACGCGACCTTCCCCGAGATCTACGATAGGGTGATGAAGATGAAGAAGCCCGCTCAAGCTCCGAAGCGCAGCACGAAACGCGACGATGATTCCAAGACGAAGCGCATGAGAATCGAGCAGTCTTGAGATTATCTTGACAACACAGGATCTGGCGTGTACCCCCAGGACCGACTTTGGATTACCTACTCGTCAACCAAGGTTCCCACAAATTCGGCAATGTGTCTACGCGGCAGTGGGACGTTCACGGATTCATTTCATTCTTTCTCTACTTCAAACTCTCTGTTAGACAAAAGTCGGAGCCATGCTGCATGGTAGCCTTTCACTTTGGAATCACGCCGCGATCGCCGTGCAGGCGTATGCAAAATATCATTCAAGGCGTGTGCTTCTTGCGTTTCTGCCAGCGTTAACGATCTCTTCTCTCAGCGACAGCAGCAATTAGTTTAGCGATTTCTTTCGTTCAATTCAGCAGGCGATTTTGGGTCCACTCTCTGGGTTCGGTCTACCCTGAGCAAAAGTTTCTCATCATCGAGCCATACTTCTTACATACTTTGTCAGAGCAACATGAATCACATTCAAGATACCAGCATACCTTTGCCTCCAGTTTATGGTGTACGTGATCAACCCGGTCGTCCACTTGGTATCTCTAGCTTGATGCCTCTGACACGCTGCAATCATTCACGCTCTTCCAATGCACATTACAATGTTCGTCTGTTCAGAAGAACTGAGAGGGATATAATAATAGTCGCTAACAAAAACATGTATGTATCCAGCACGCGAAAGATGAAAGGAGAGTCAAAACCATACAGTACACCAGCAGCAATCCGCATCTCCTACTCCGAACCCAAAGAACACCAGTATCGTATATCCACCACCCATCTCCTACAGTCGCCATGATCCTACACAAAGACCCCTAGGCTCTTCCATCTACCCTCATAACATAACTTCCCTCTACGCGCCATCCCCCCAAAGCCCAACAACCTGCATCGCAAACGCCACGCCCGCCAACCCCGTCTTAACCCACTCAACCACCTGCTTCCTTTCAACCGCCAAGCGCACCTGCTCGCCATTGACCTCATCGCCCTGCGCCTCCAACTCCATAACCTGCCTCTTCTCGTTCCCGCCCTCGGTCAGACCAACCGCATAGTCCACACCGGGTCCAGACACAAACGAGAAAATAGATGTGTAAAGTAGGTACGGGTGGCGGAAGCGGGCGGGCGAGAGACAGTAGGCGGAGAAGAGGGTGAAGGTTGTTATGTGGCGGAGGTAGGAGGATAGGTTTGTGGATTTGGTGGTGAGGTAGATGAGGGAGGTGCGGGCGTTTATGGCGGTGGGGAGGGCGAGGAGGGAGGGGAGGGCGATGGTCGAGACGGTTGCTGAGACGCCCTAAGGGGGTGTGTTAGTTATCTGGACAGTGTCTTCTGGGGTTTGTGCTGGGGGGTTTGGTATATGGAGGCGTGGGTTGGAGCTCTGATAGCTTTCAAGCGGGGAGCTTGGAGAAGTGAAGTGGCGGGTGGTTGACTTACAGTTGCGATTCCCAGGGTGATTGTTCCGACGAATTTACATATTGAGACTGTTTGGGCGGCCATTGTGATGGTACCGAGAGGTTTTTGCGAGAACGGATTGCTCTGACTATCGCGCGGGTTCTTTGTCGTGCAGTTATCTGTTGGCAATGCAGGTTGACGTGCATGCAGCGCTTGGAAGATTGCGGAGATGCTGCGGGCATCATCCGGAGCAGGCTGTCATCTTTCGGAGAAATCCTGATGGCCCAAGCTTCCCCTTCCAGAATGCGGAGAAGAGGAGCACATGTCAATCAGTAATCATAGGCTACACGCCCTATAGAGAGAAAGATGTTGATTCATTGTCAGGACGCTCCTTACCGTACATACTCTGCACAGTCTCTCAAACCTATAAAATGCATTCGATGCGCGCAATGTATCGCCCTGGGCGGATCGCAAGCATCAAGAGAGTAATCTCGCCAGTCGTACCTCGGCTTACAACACCAACGCGTATCCTGCACGCATCAGCCGGGGCTTGCGGCCGTAACTTTCACACGACGTGAGCAACCTCAGCTACTTATACTCCACTCCATAGTGATCTCCGCACTTGACGATAACTCCCAACGTCGTCACCTGCTCACTCACCATCGCCAGTCCTGCACGCTTCCTGTCCGAACACCCCGATAGCACAGAACCCGCTTGGAAAACACCGCGCACCATGCCTATGGAGAAGTACCAGTTTATGAGCAATGTCTGGAGGGATGGCATCTTCGGTATGTCTCTCATAAGCGTGGATAGGCAGAGTTGGCCTACAACCACAGCTCAAACAGTCCAACCTCTCCATCAAAGCTAACAAACCACCCCAGACAACAAAGTCGTCTTCTGCACCGGCGGCGCCGGCACAATCTGCTCGGCCCAAGTCCGCGCCATGGTCGCCCTGGGCGCCAACGCCTGCATAATCGGGCGCAACGTCGAGAAGACCGAAAACATGGCCAAAGACATCGCAACCGCGCGCCCCGGCGCCCGCGTCCTCGGCATCGGCGCCATCGACGTGCGCAAACCCGAACTCTTACAAGAAGCCGCCGACCGCTGCGCTCGCGAACTCGGCAGCCTGGACTTTGTCATCGCAGGCGCAGCCGGCAATTTCCTCGCGACTATCGACCAGATCAGTCCGAATGCGATGAAGAGCGTTATCGATATCGATGTGTTGGGGAGTTATAATACGGTCAAGGCGACGCTGCCGTATCTCAAGGAATCGGCGGGGAGGTATAGGACGGATGGTACGACGCTGCCGGCTAAGGGGACGGGTGGGCGGATTATCTTTGTGAGCGCTACATTGCATTACACGGGTACACCGATGCAGTCCCACGTCTCGGTCGCGAAAGCAGGTGTAGACGCCATGGCTATGTCTGTCGCTATTGAGCAAGGCCCACGGGGCATCACGTCCAATATCATTGCTCCTGGACCCATTGCTGAGACTGAGGGTATGGCGAGGTTGTCCAAGTCGGATGCTAAGAGTAAGGTTGCTAAGGCCGTGCCGTCTGGTCGCTTTGGAGCTGTCAAGGAGATTGCCGATGCTACTATCTATCTGTTCTCGGATGCGGGTAACTTTGTTAACGGCGAGACGCTTGTTGTGGATGGTGGCGCGTGGCATACCGCGGGCTTTGCGGGTGGGTTCGAGTATCCTGATTTTATGCTTAGTGGGGAGAGTGTTACGGGGGTTAAGGGAGGGAAGAAGAGTAAGTTGTAGAGTGGAGACGTAGAGACTGGTAGACGTGGAAATTGAAGACCAGTTTGCGGGCTACGAGGACGCTGAATTCATGAGTTGTACCTTCTGACGCTGCCGTGGAGGCATTCAACAAATCCCTTGCTTATAGTTGTGTCCATCTAACGGCGATGTATCCATCAGAGCGTCTCTTGGTAACGCGTACAACCCTTTCAGAGCGAGCGTTTTCGTCAAGTAGAGTAGTGAGACTGGCACATCTCACATCAAGTTGCATTTCAAGCGTATGTGACCCGGCCATGTATTGCATTGCGTTCCCTTGATTATTCTCGTTCACGTATCACTGTTGAGGTCTACAATGACGAGATACGTACCGTGAGTAACTTGGTAAAACGTCCCTCGACGTATCCATTGCGCCTGTCATTCCGCGAAACCATCTGCACGAGTGTCATGTAAATGGAAGCTTTCGGATCAGCAACAGAAGCTTGGGTCAGAGCCCGGTTCAACGGTAGCGTATGTGATGATGAAGATGTACTTGGTCTCCGTGGGTTCGTAGACTGACGCAATAGAAAGGTATGTATGCGTCTGAGTATAACGTATGATGCAATATATGCACGATAGAAGATGATGTATACGTCTGTTCCGAGGGGTGCTGAGTATGATTCAGAGAGGACGTAGCACAATGTATACATCCATGTTGCATGTGAGATATCGCGTACATAGGCAAGCCTCTCTGTCAGCGTCTGATGCCAAACAGTTGCATTCCTACCTAGAGCTTCAGCCTTTTCAACATTTACCTGAAAACAAACATGTATACCACGCCTGGCCACAGTCCTTGTGATGCTGGACCAGGCTGACACTGAGGTGTGCAGGCACGCCCGGGCACTCCAATGTTTCCAATGTTTTAACGTAATTTTATTGCTAAGACGCTAGTCTCTAAGTAGGTTTCTTCCTACAATCTTACCTTAGTATTTTGTTATTTCTACTAACCTATATTTATCTACTCTAGCTTAAAGCGCTCCTTATAACTAGCTATAATTGTAGTGCTAATTCTACTCTTCTTCTTCTACGTACGCGTAAGCTACGCTTCCTTAGTATTGCTAAGAGTGCTAGTAATATGCTTTATAAGTAGCTTATTTAGAGCGTTAATTTTTAGCTAAATAAAGTTAACGTTGTTATAATCTTTGTCTATATACTATTAGTAAGCCTGCTTTATTATTGCCTTACCTACTTTATATAGACTAATCTTTTTAAACATTATAATAGCTAGCTTAACAGCCTTGCTTTCTTCTAGGTTCTTAATAAGTCTCTTAACCTTTTAGATTGTTCTTTATACTTCTAGTAATTAGAGGTTTAGTAGACATCTTACTACTAGTAGCTTAGATAGTTAGTTATAGCTAAGAACTAGGCTATTATAGTGTTTTATTGCTATATTAGTAGTTAAAGAGAATTTAGATAAAGTTAGTATAATACAACTTAGAATAAGCAGTAACAGCACTTTATATACTTAAACCTTAACTATAGTTCTGCTATCTTATTATAGAGTTATTTTAAAGACTTATTACTGTACTATAGATATACATAGAGATGTACTAGCTTAGAATTAGTTATTAGCAAATTATAGTTATTATATACCTAACTACCTAAAGTACTATTAAAGTCATTGCAATCAGATCATCACGAGACGAGCGCGCAAACAAGAAGACACGCCCGGGCAGCACTAAGTATCCCAGCTGTTGTATAGCGCGCGGCCCACTCCATACCTCGGACCACTATAGCACCGGGAATCGAAATCGAATCTCAACGACTTTTGGACCAGGTTCGATAGCTCAAAACGGAATGAACCTTGTATCAAGGCTGTAGTGGCTGAGCAAAAGCAAAAGTATCATCGAGAGAGATCATCAAGT